ACAGCTCTGGTCTGTGGCAAGAAACCAATGGCTGGCTAGCTAATAGTATTCAAACCCCTGCCTGAAAATGAAAAGAAAAAAAATAAGCAATTTTCTGCTTGGGACAGCTTAAACTGAATAATCATGACTGTGACAACCTGACCTAAATGTTTTTAATCAGAGCAGAAGAAATATATGCCCATTTGCTCCTTACTTTACTAATTAAAGCAGGCTAATTGGTGTTTTCAGGAACTTCCGACTGAGGGTCAGAGCCTCTAGTCATCTTCTTCACCCCTCCTTGCCCCACCCCTCCCCCAAAGGACTGTCCCCACCGTGGAGTTGGCCTCTTTCTGACAGACAATGGGAGGGGGTGCTCCAGACCCTCTGGCTCCGCCTTTGCGCCAGAACTTTGGCCCTGAAAAGGACGCACAGGGATTGGCCAGAAGTTCCTGCCCAGCAGGCTTGTTCTCTTTCACACTCCCTGGACTTGTTTCTGGGAGCCAAGACCCCTCCCTGACTGCCAGGTCAGCACTGCCGAATTGGTGGAGTGTGGCTCCACTGGAGGCCCAGAATCCAGCCTAGTGCTGGGCACCAGGGAGGAGCTCCGGAAATGTTCCTCTGATGTGGCGTAAAAGCCCCCACCAGGCAAAAGTCTCCCTCCTATTTGGAGGGTTTCCTGGGCAGGTGCGAGAGACCCAGTTCTTTCTCCAGCATTTCTCACACGCCCCATTTCACTCCAGCTTTCTGCCCCCCCCCTTTTCTATTCATGTTCTGTGGCAGGACCCTGCTCACCTCAGCAAAGGCAAAGGGCTCATCTTGAAGCCCTTACGCCGCTCTTCAGACTCCCCCCATTGCATGAGATCCAGATACTTCGGGCTACAGGGAGTTTGAACCTGAAATGAGCCAGATAATTGCCCCAATTCGCTGTTCCTTATTGAAGAGGTAGTTTACGGGCTGTGAGGTTCAAAGGGCCTCACTTTTATGGACACTGCTCTAAGTCAAAAGAATACATTACACACGTACAGGCTGAGGCTCACGCCCTCCAACCTAGACTGGTTCTCTGAGAACAAAGGAGACTTCCTCCACCTCCTCCTCCCTCTTCCTCCTCTCTCTTTCTCTTCCTTGCTATTAGTATTTACTAAATGTTCTCTGTGCAGCGAGCACCATGCTAACTCCTAGGCACACAGTACATTCATTATTATAACAACCTTAAGATCTAAGGCATCCAGCTTTTTTGCAGATGCATAAAGGAAGATATTTTTCAGCCAGGAAGTGTGTGTGTGTGTGTGTGTGTGTGTGTGAGAGAGAGAGAGAGAGAGAGAGAGAGACAGACAGACAGACAGACAGACAGACACAGAGAGACAGAGACAGAGAGACAGAGATGAGATACTCACAGAGATAGAGATAGATAAGATAGATCGATAGAAAGACACACACACACACACACACACACACACAGAGAGAGAGAGAGAGAGAGAGAGAGAGAGAGAGAGAGAGAGAGAGAGAGAGAGAGAGAGAGAGAGAGATTGGCAAATCCTAATGTTCCAGGCTATAACATATAACAGGATGGAAATAAAACTGAAGATGAGAGGACCTTCAAGTTTTGAAATATGGACTGTTTTACTAGAAGGCAGATACTTTCCCCTGCCCTGAAATGAACAAAGAAGTGAGGCAATTAACTGGCTAATTCCAAGACCCAAATGCTTTCCCTCGAAATGGGCGGATAATGAGGCCCACAGTATGTTCGCAGTTGAATTCGCCTGATGTCGCTCCATTTCCCCCCTAACTTTTGCAAATCCATTGGGCAATCTCAGTGAGACGCACAGACGCCAGACGCTGCACGTGGACGCGCGCGCACTCACGCACTCACACACAGGAATGCTGACACACACACAGACCCGACTTTATTCTGCCTCCAGAGTCTTTTATGACTCAGCCTTGGGAATGAGAATAGGGCTTGGAGAGAAATAATGTGCCCGAGGCCGGGTGGGGCGCAGCTGTTCCAGATGTGCGCTGGGTAATTAGACGTCCTTGAGAGCTGGTGCCCGGCTGGGAAACGTGCGTCCCCTGGGACCAGAGACCTCGGCCGGCACTGGGCCACAGTCTGTCCCAGAGTTGGCTCTTGCTCTTTGCTGCCCGGTCCAGGGACTTCCTCATTCCTCTCTGCCCTGCCCGCTCTGCTGGGATTCTCTGGCCTCGGCCTTAGAAATAACTTTGGCAGATGGTTCCAGAAAAAAATGGCGACTCTGTCACCCGGGAAGGAGATTTGATTTTTCCTGTCCCACACTTCTCAGATCGGTTTAGGACCTGAGCTCAGGCTCACAGGGCCAGAGTTCTCATTCGCTCTCCTTGCCCCACCTAGAACTTAAAAACAGTTACTGGTTCTGACCACAAATACTCTCTGGCTTCAGGGTGTGTGAAACATTCATGCGTCTGACACCTTCTTTTAGTTCCACAAGGTTTTCAAACTCCACTTCCCTGTCCAGTGGGTCTTTTTCTTTCAGGCTTTTGATCCACTACCACTCAGTCAGGAAGGTTATAAATCGGCTATTTCCTGGGAAGGAGGGCTTGGGTTTGACGTAGCTCTGACTTTTTTTTCCCCCCTCGAGACAGGCTTTTTTCTGTGCAGCCTTGGCAATACTGGAACTTGCTCTGTAGACCAGGCTGGCCTCGAACTCACAGAGATCTGCCTGCCTCTGTCTCCTGATTGCTGGGATTAAAGGCTTGTGCCCCCATCACCACCAAGCTTGCCTCTGAGTGTTGGCTGAACTTCCCTTATCTTCACTTCCAATGTTCATATGGATTGAGCCGAGTCTGAAACCCAGGAAACCCCAAATCTGCAACAAAGACAACCTCTAAAGGTTGTCGTTCCGGAAACGAGCGGAAATTATGCTAAAAAGAACGCCACTGCGTTCGTGGCGTGAACGGTGGTTATCTGGAACAGAACATTCACTTTGGAGTAGAGCGCACGTTCTCCAGCCCTGCTCGATTGCTCTTAATTTTTGCTCAGATCTTGGGCTTACCACTTAATTTCTCCAGACATCGGGGGCTTCGATTGCTCGTTGGGGGAGGGAGTTAGAGACGCTGGCGCAGCACTGTAGCGGGCGGGCGGCCGAGGAGATCAAAGGAGATTCCGCCCTGGAAGGCTCCCCAGCGTCACAGATCTGAGTAGGGGTGGGGGCTGGGGAACTGGTACAGCTTTTCTTAGCTGTCCAATCCTTTCCCAGCCAGCACTCTTTAATCTTGTTTCTCTTGCTTGGCAGAGGGCGCCAAAGGCGACGCGCTGGCGGCCAGCTCCGAGCCAAGCAGGCCCTAAGCGTCCGCAGGAACCTGTCCCTTCTAACCCTGCACCGGACGCAGAGCTTCGGAGAGGATCTGGCTGGGCGCGGATTCAACGCCAGGGCGCCGCCTAGAGGTCGGTCGCGTCCTCGGTCTCGCTCACTAAGCGACGCAGAGTGGCTTGTCCAAGCCACACCGTCAGACTTGCAAAAACAAAACAGAGCAAAATTCCAGCTTGGATCAGGGATTTGACTTCTGGCGCCTTTGACTTGTCAGAAACTGCCCCTTCTCTGCTCCATAATGAACCTCAGGAAGAGAAAGGGGCCAGGGGGGTCTAAGAAATGTTTATCCTTGTGACTCTCACTAAGTGAAAAAGTTTCAACATGTCAGTTCCTTTTAAGGATCTTAGATCCCGGGTCTGATTCTGCACCGCTTCTTCTCACTACCCACATTGCCCAGCCTCGGCTCCTTCTCCTCTTCATGCTAGGACTTTGGAAAAGTTACCCTCGCCTCTTAGAGCTTAGCTATAGGATTTCTAAATAATTTGGAGATGGGTATGTTTTGGAAAAGAATTTGGAAAAACATCTGAGGGGTGCTAGGAAGAACTGCCCAAATAGCCTCACTTAGTGGCCTCTGCTAGTGTCCCAGCAACGGTTAGGAGGGTACTTGAAAGACACCAGTAGCCCTGCCCAGGGGAGTCTGTGCTGAGCATTCAAAAGCTGACTTTGGAGGTAAGGGGTGGCCTGGGAAGGAAATAACTTGGCACCTGGGAAACGGGCTGGAGGTGTCTTTTGGATCCAGGCAGGTTTCTTTTTGAAGATGAGATCATTGCAGAGTCTCTGAAAATGCCTCTGCCTCCTGAGTGCTGGGATTAAGAGTGTAGGCACACAGATTTGTTGTGCTAAGGCCGTGTAGCCTCTTCCAGTTTTCCAAAGAACCTCTTTCCTCAGCCACGGAGCTACAGAGATCAGGGCAGCAGTAGACGGGGAGCCGGCATACTAACCTTCGGCCATGCTTGTCCCTGAACAAGCTCTATTGGAGATGGAAAACTAATAGTTCAGAGGAGTCTGAGAACCGTTGGCCCCTCGGTCCCTCTTCCTCCCTCCTCTGTGACTTCTAGAGGGAAATGCTAACAGAAGATGTGATGGGCATGGAGACCCCACAGTATTTTCAACAGAAATGGGGCATGATGAAGACAGAAACAAGGAAGTAAATGGTGGGGTACATAGTGGGCGGGGCTGGAGGGGCCTCCCCATGTCATTTTGGGAAAACAAATATTTGATAGATAGAAGGTACTTCCTGTCCTACATGTTCCTCCCTCTTGGTGCCAGGAAGCCCCCACAGGGCACACCACATTGCTGCTCATCCCTGGCCAACCCGGGGCAGAATGGGGACAGCCAATTCAGCTGCTCACATTTTTTTTTTAATGATGGGAAACAATTGGGTATTTTCTGAGCCCATTTTTAAATTTTCATTAAAAAAAAAAAATCTCCAGCGGAGCTTTGGCAGCATTTCCTGGAGGGAGGAAATGAGTTGGCTAGGTCAGGGCTGCACCTGTGTGTCGGCTGTGCGGCAGGATACCTCTCCTGGGCCTGCAACGGAGCCTCAGCCCAGTCCCTGAGCAGAGACTGGGGTAATCCCAGGCTTTCAGTGTATTTTAGACCTGAAGCGTTGGTGTTTGTTGATGAATAATTGGGATTCATGGAATCTTTTTGCTGACCGCCCCCCCAAATTACCTAACCATGCACTCTGGGTATACAAAGAGGGTAAGAAGCCACTACCGTGACTTCTGGTTCTCTACCCCCCACCACCAAAGGGATCCCCCTCCCCTTCTAGTTAAGTTTTGCTGCGGGTGCTCCTGGTAGCAAATCCGGATTCCACGAAATGTTGAAAAAAGCAGACTGGGCAATAGCAGAAAGAGCCGCAGCGGCAAGTTGAGGTCCACTTAGTGGTTATTTTGATTTGGTTCTGAAGCTTTTAAAAGAGCAGGAAAGAAGCAAATGGCAAAACTCGGTGGAGACCAGACACCCCTGTACGCTGTCATGTCTGCCCTCTACACGGGACAAGGAGGTCCCCGCGGGTTTCTCCTCCTCGGGAGCCCCTCACTGATCAGCCCCCTTCAGGCCTGCAGAGTTTTCCAAGTCTTATTCCCTGTTCTGTTCTAGCAAGTACCTGGCAATAAACAGGCGGGACAGGGCAAAGGTCTGGAAGCCGGAGAGCAGGAAAACCCCTAAAACCCGCATCAAGCACACAGACAGCACAAGGAGGACTGTGTCGCAGGACTGGGCTTGTTGCGAGGAGTTCAGGGCCCCCAGCTCTGCCTGCGAGGTTGCTAGGAGCCGCATCCTGAGCCCTCGGGGCTGGAGGGGCCCAGGTTAGGCGTTGGTTTCCAGTCCTGGCCACGGGCTAGAGAGTAGAGGACCGAGACCCGGGAGAGACTTCTCTCCACGCGGACAGAGTCTGTTGCAAGCTCCTGTTGCAAGCTCCCTCCCCTCCTCGTAAATTGTTTCCCTTCCCTTTTATCGGCCCCTGGCCGTGTTTCTTTTTAGGACAAGACAGGATATAAACTGTTTGAAGTTCATCAGCACGGTGAAGTTTTATTGTATTTCCGGTCCCCAAGATTTACGCCCCGGAGGGGAGGCCGGCAGCTAGGCAGACTCCCTCCTTACCTCCGACTTCCACGCCCGATTTGTAGCCACGCGGACCCTCGCCTTCGGGGGCAGGGGGGGTCGGACCCGGCTCCCTCCCACCCGGCTGCCTCCCCGGCTCAGGTAAGTCCCTCGGGCCTCGGATGGTGGTGGCATCCGCTGCGGGATGTGCTGCCTGAGCACCTGTGAGGATGTGCGTTTGTGGGATGGAGGAGACTAGGACACAAGGATGTATGTGGTGCGAACAGGGGACAAGGAGGAAGCAAATTTGTCCTCCGCCGGCCCAAGCCAACTCCTCCACAGCTCCCTTCTTTCTAAATGCTGGAAAGTGCGTCCTACCTGAGGCTGTTCAGCGTCTGTGGAGCCAGGGTCTTAGCATGGTTCAGCAGAGCGCCTGTTCAAGCCAGCCTGCTGCCCTCATTCAGCCCTACTGTCTGTGCCCTAGAATTCCTGATACTTCCTGACTGACTTTCTCCGTCACTTTTCTTCCTCAGCTCTACTTGGCGCCTCGGCTGCTCTCCTGCCTGCTCCCCCGGGGTCTCAAGGCTGGGGTTGGTGTACAGTTGGAAGATTTGACCTCTCAGAGCTGCCTGGGAGTCTGGGTAACCCTGGAGCCCAGGGACTGGCCAGATGGTGAGTGTATGCGAACCTTGCTAGCAGTTTGAAGTTAAGAATCCCTTTCATCTGGGGAGCCCTCCAGCCTCCAGTCTCTGCTGAGAGGCCACGCAGGTATCACACAGAGGCCCTAGCCAGGCTTAGAGCTGGGCCCAGGGCCTCCCTTGGTCAGGGTTCTTGAAGGAAAAGCAAAGTTCCTGGAATCCTGGGTCCAGTCCTTCAGAATCCGTGGTTACCAGCAACTGGGTCTCTGTTAGGAAAAAGCAGAAGAGAGCAGGTTAAGCAGAGGGAGTAAGCTCTGTGGCCGGTTTGGCCCACAGGAGGGCCTCAGGAGCCTGCCCCAGTGAGCCCTTGACTTGGAGCTTGAACTGGGACTGCTGAGTGAATTAGGTAGTTCCATGTTGTTGGGCCTGGCTTTCTGAACACAACGACATCCAACCACCTGATTCACGGCAGTTACTGCTTCTCGCTTAGCTGGAGGAGTCCGCTAGGGTCCTTCAGGCCTGGCCTGTTACTTTTGCAAAATAATAAACGGGTTTGAGGCCCCTCATCTGGGAACAGCCAGGAATGTTCCCAAAGAAGAAACCTGGGGAGTTCTAGGGTGCTTCTGAGAGAGAGAGAGAGAGAGAGAGAGAGAGAGAGAGAGAGAGAGAGAGAGAGAGATTGGAGGAAAAGGTAGCTACCTTCAGGAAGGCAGGAGCTGAGTGAGCTCTTTTGAAGAGTCTGGGGTGGAGGCTGGGGTTTCAAGTTGGAGGCTCCTGTCTACAGTCAGACCTTCCCTGAAAGGATTCTCAGCTGCACGGATGAATTTGGTTTCCAATAGAGCTACATGGGACCCTCTCAGTCTTTGTAATCTCTAGATGTTGGGGCCTCCTACTTCAGCAGAAGTCTGAAGCTCTTCTAAGAGGCCAATAGGTCCCAATCTGATCAAGAAATATCATATCAGGATCATTTGCAGTCTCAAGTGTCTCCTAGGGCCCCCTAGTGGGACAGGACTTCTAGAGGTGGAGGGGGGGGGGAGCCTTGCTTTCCCAAACCCCACTGGGTCCCTTACCCACTGGCTGAACTGGCCTGTGGGTTCCCACAAGTCCTGAGGGCCACTTAGCCCTAACCAGCAGGCGCACTGGGTTTTTCAGTACAGCCTGGTGTAGTGGTGGGACTGGAGCCTGGACAGGCAGGGCAGTCTTGTCCTCTCTGACCCCAGCCCTTCCAGGCTGCCGCTGGCTTTGTGCCCAGGAAAGGAGTCCCTAGGAGGGCTGGTGGAAGGGCACTTGCCAAGCATAGGCTGACTTTTGTTCCTAAACGTTCCCTGCTTGAGGCAGAGGAAATGTGCAGAGGGGGCCCAGGAAAGAGGCCCCAACCGGATGGGACTCCGGGGCGCCAGGCTTATTTAGATGGTGGGGGCGGGGGGGGGGGGGGAGGTTGAACCAGAGGCAAAGGCAGAGAGGGCTCAGGGAGACCCACTCCCAGAGCAGAGGATAGTCTGGCTTCAAGTCACTGTCTTGATAAGGAAAGGCCCTAAACTCTGTGCTTTAACATTTTTCTCATCTTCCCCTGGGGGCCAAGAGGGTCTGCAATGTTCCTTCTGCCTTACCTTGCTTCTCCCTGGACCTCTTAGAAAGCTGCCCAGGCACTAGGAGGATGACCATATTCCACCCCTTGGTTCCCCGTCCTAGCCACCTCCTCCCAGGAAAAGCGCTGTAAAATAAAGAAAAAAGGGGATGTTAGAGAGAAAGGAGAAAATAAAGTCTTTGGAAAGCAGAGAGTTTTACAACAGCCCAAGGTTTTATGGAAGCAATTGTGTAATAGCCTCCTACCTGCTCAGAACCCTTTCCGCTCTGCTTGCCGCCCACCCCGTTTGGCCTCCTTGAAGCCTCCTCCCAAAGGACTCAGCCACCTCCCACTGTCCTGGATACCCGGGGTGGCTGAGAGCTGGGAAGAAGATTCCTCAGGTCCAGTGGGGCCACTGACCCCTGACATCCTAGGAGGGAAGTTTGACAGGGCTTCTGTTACTTTCCAATTAAGGTCTCTGCTTGGGGCTGTGGAAGCACCCAGGTTTGAGCCCCAGTGTACAGATTGGTGATCCCTGTTGGAAGGTTGTTTTGGACAAAGGATATGTGTTCTGGGATCTGGGTTTCCCCTCCAACGTCTAAAGGAACAAGTATCTTCAAACCTCACTGTGTCCCAGAGTAGGTCTGGGAGTCAGAAGAAATGTCTCCCGTGCTGGGGGTCAGCCAGACACTGGGGACTTCAGCAGTTTGGTGGTGTGCTGTGTCCTGTGCAGCCCTGTGTCCGCAGGATTGGCATGACCTCCACAGTTACCTGAGGACTGTCACGCTCCGTTTGTCTACTTTCCCTTCACACTTGTGTAGGACACAAGTGATGGTATTTCCACCCCTTTGCCCACCACTGCCGTGAAATAAGTGTCACACAGTGCATGCTGTCCCTGCCGGCTGGGGGAAGATATGCAGTAAAGGATTTCATGGTTGGATAACAAAAGCCACCACATTTCATGACCTCTTCTGGGTCAGTTGGAGGTATTCCCTTCACCTTCCAGGAAAATGTTCTGGTAGGACACCGTAATTGAATCCAGCTTTAAGTCACACACATTTATTTGAAGATGTAATTTGAATTTTGCTTGAATACTAAATTAAGAGACAAGATTTCAAGAGAGGCTTCTACATCAGTTAATATTTTATAGCCAAAATTTAGGTACATGAATATCCAGGATTTTGCCTTTTCCAGAGGTGTGTTGGGGTTTTGTTATTTATTTGTTTTTGTTTTTAATGTTTTTTTAAATCAGCAACAGAATCACAAATAATCTACATTATTCACAGGGGTTATACCTATAACCACATATGCACAATTAGATCATAAATACCTGTGCCCAGGCACATCTAGTATTACCGTTGGGAAGATAGTTATATATACTATACAAGTGTGGAATAGAGGATATTTGAACACTAGGTCCCCTACAGGAATGTGGGCTTGAAACAGACATGCAGGAGAAATACCTGCTCAAATCCCGCTGCATCATGACATTTCAGCTTTAGCTTATTAATTCAACACAAACTATTTTCACATGTACCATTTTCCTTCCCTCCCTTTCTACCCCCTTTTAACCCCTAGATTTTCTCTGGTGACTGACAGAGACACCGGCCATCCCCCTCACACACACCAAAGACTCTCCTCAAGAGCAGGCACTTACCGGCTGGTTCTAGTCAGCATCCACCTCCTGCTCGCCCTTGGCTGCTCTGGGCCCCGGTATAGCCAGGGCTTTGCCCTCTTCTTCCTCCTGGCTTTTGCCACGCTTCCAGCCAAGGCTCCAATGTCAGAAATGCCAAGAGGCTGCAGGGTAATGCACCATTTTCTTTCTTCCTCTTTAGGATTGGGGGTGGTGTGCAGAGTAGCTTTGCTCTCCGGACAAAGTATGTGTGGTCACTTTTATTAAGTACCTTTAGACTCTGGGTCCTGAGGGCCACAATTCTGGGTGCTCCGCCCTGGCATGGTAGGTACCACGGCCTAGGAAGGAAGAGGGACTTGAGGGGTTCATAGGTTCACTGAGCAGCATCCCAGCAAAGGACACTCACCCCAGGACCATTTTGCCATTTGCCTCTGTTGAAGCTGAACTCAGTCTGAGGCAGCAGCAATCCCTTCTGGCAAACTTGGCGGCAAGGGTGAGTGAGACCCCCTGCTTACCGCGGCTGCGCCCTCACCTGCAGGGAGATGAGATGGGCTACAGACCCCAGAAGAGGGGAAAAGTTCATTCTCTCCCCTCTGAAATCACTTCTCGGGAGAAGACAGATCTCCCAAACCTGTTTCCTCCACACTGTTCTTACCCTCCAGCATCTTTGAGCAAATACCAAAACTGCTTCTGACCCAGAAAAGAGAGGCCTGGTTCTCCTCTTCACCCCATACTGGGAGCCACCAGGGATTAAGGACAACTCCTTAGGCAGTTAGAACGCACAAATCCAAATTCAGACTCTCACTCTTGCAGGGCACAAATATTCTTCCTCTGCCTTTCCCTAAACTAAAGGGGGCCCTTGATTCCTCTCTTCTTCTGGAGAATCTACAGCCAGGCCCAGGAGAGGAATGGGAACCAGGAGAGCAGCAGGCAGAGGCCAGAGCCCGCACAGCTTGGGTCTTAAAAACAGTCTTGCTCTATGGCTTTTCCATAAATAAAAATGCCCCAGCCCACAGCTCACGTGTCCTTTTGGGCCCTAATTTATATACTACAGAAAATCATATACCCACCTCGACATGGTTCATAACGCTGTTATTTATGGCGGGGGGGGGGGTTTTTTTTTTTTTTTGGCCTGAAGACTATATTTATTACAGGTGAAACTGATAGCAGACTCCATACATCTAGCAAAACAGGGACAGGTGCTTTGCCCTAAACGTGATCATTCGCTCCAGGCCCAGCTTCTCGCTGGCAGGTCCGGTCCAGGAAGCTCCCTTGACTTTCCCAAGCATCCAACCGCTACTTAGAAGAATTGGCATGGGATTTTTGTTTCCCCATTTGGATACTATGGAAAAAGCAGGTCTTCACGCTGTTTGGTTCCGGATCTGCTGGGCTGTCTCTCTCCCAGAGCGTGGGTGGAATTGAAGGGGCCGGCTGGGCGCCCGCATTGATCTTTAAAAAATCATTTTGAAATCGCCATAATGTGAAGAAATATGGCGCTTCGCCCTCGTATTTCACACGTAATGACACGAGATGGCTTCATTTGGAAAGACAAGCGGGCGGGAGTGTGTGTGTGTGCGTGCGCGGAGGTGATCCGCAGCCTTTCACTGGGCAGAGGGGGTAGTAGCCAAAAAGATACCACCCCAAGTTAGAATGGTTCCACTTTTTTTCTAAAAGGAGGAGAGGGTAAGGAAGAGGTCATGGCTCGCGGAGCAGGTCTGCCTGGTAACGGTCCAGAGTCCGAGAACAGCCAAGAAATCTGTCCCTAGACCTAACCCAAGGAAACCGAGCCTGTCTAGGGGCCGGACCTCCCAGAGCCCCACACCCGGGGAGGCGTCTGCACCCAAGCAGAAGCTGCAGAGGCAGTAGCTGGGAGAGCCGCCAGGAAGCCAGCCAGTGGCCTCGGGGGAGTGCCTGCGCAGGGCCGCAGAATAGCTGCTAATAAAATGCACTATTTGGAAGCTCCACGAGAGGATTGTAGGGGGGAAGGCTGCGGCTGGAGGAACGGACTGATCCTGGGGACTCCGCTGTACTTGGTACTGCCCTATGCCGGCATTTGGATGTTTTCCAGAGCAGCAATTCCGGGTGAGAAGAGCTGGGCAGGAGTACTGAGAATTTAGCTTGCCTCCTTCCCTTTTGGGATGGAAAGGCAAGTAACCCAGTGTCGCTTACTGTGCTGTTTGGGGACCCTGTCCCCAACTCTGGAGAGCTCCCTTAATCATTTCTCACATTAGCCCCCTCATCTGGACAGTTTTACGGTCTCAGAGGATTCTAGACGAAGGACAGAAGAAATGGCCGTGGACCCATCCCTTCATAAAGGGCCAAGAAAATTCAAGGAGTTAAATAAGACTGGTTAGTCGCGTGAAACTCTTTCGTAGACTAGTTACAGGGTCTGGTGAGTCCCTTTGGCCTTAGGCAGGCTCTAATTTTAGTCCAGATAATGGTTCTTTGGACACTGGTCCCATTGAATTTCCCTTTCTCCTCTCCTGGCTCCTGAAGGATCAAGGGAAGAGCCTAGTCCCGTAAATCTCCCCAAATTGTGCCCTGAACCCCCTCCAAAGAAGATAACTGTCCTATAAAACCCCCAACTTCTTCCCCATCCCTTTACTTCATCTCCTGTGGGTCGCTGTGCTGCTGTTGTTTAATAAACATCTCTGTCAAGGGGACAGAGGACAGGAAATGAGGGCCTGCGGGGTGGAGGTGGAGGTGTTGGGGGGGTGACAAGACTACCTCCTCTTTAATTACCCTGTCGGGCCTCTCCCGCTGCTCTGAGGCTGGGGCGCTCTCCCTCCCTGTACGCGGATCCTCCTCCCCCTCCCTCTCCAACCCGCCTGGGGAGAGGGCTCCGCAGCCAGCGTCCCTCCAGAGGCAGCCCGCTGCTTGCCTCCGCCTCTCCTCCGCCCCCATAGCCCCATGTTGAGAACCCCCCCCCCTTCCTGCAAAAGCGGGAGGGGCCCCGGGCGGCCCGGCAGCTCTGGCTGAGGTTACGTGGCCGCCGGAGCCCTGACGTGATAGCACATTGCATCAGCATAAAACAATCCATCCTGGATATGGAATGCGGTGAGGACGGATGACAGCGCGAGCGCAGCCCCCTCGCCCGATTGATTTATGTCGGAGCTGACGCTTTATCAGGCAGTCCGCAAAACTTTGACCAATCATTTTGCAAGGAGCTCCGAGCCGGGCTGCTCCACTGTACTTTGTTGGCTGAGAAGTTGAGCAGGGGGTGGGGGTGGGAGGGTGGGGGTCTGGGGGGGGTCGCGTCCGAAAGCCCTCTACCACCGGGTCCGTGTGCCACCTCTCCCTGCTTGGGCGCCGAGGCGCGAGCGCTTCCCTTCCCCCTGCGAGCGCGCGGATAATGTCTGAGAATGTCCATTTCTGGGACGCTTAGCAGCTATTATGTCGACTCGATCATAAGTCACGAGAGCGAGGACGCGCCTCCAGCCAAGTTTCCTTCGGGCCAGTACGCGAACCCGCGGCAGCCGAGCCACGCCGAGCACCTGGACTTCCCCTCGTGCAGCTTCCAGCCCAAAGCGCCGGTGTTCGGCGCCTCCTGGGCGCCGCTGAGCCCGCACGCGTCCGGGAGCCTGCCGTCCGTCTACCACCCCTACCTGCAGCCCCAGGGCGCGCCGGCGGCCGAGAGCAGGTACCTCCGTACCTGGCTGGAGCCCGCGCCCCGCGCCGAGGCCGCCCCGGGGCAGGGCCAGGCGGCGGTGAAGGCGGAGCCGCTGCTGGGCGCGCCGGGGGAGCTGCTCAAACAGGGCACGCCCGAGTACAGTTTGGAAACTTCGGCGGGCAGGGAGGCTGTCCTGTCTAATCAAAGAGCCGGCTACGGGGACAATAAAATTTGCGAAGGAAGCGAGGACAAAGAGAGGCCGGATCAAAGTAAGTTATAAAAAAAAAAAAAAAAGTGAGGAAATTCCCCCCCAGGCTGCAGGCCAGGCCCGGGGGAGGGGAGGGGAGAGGCCATAAAGCGGACAATGTGAAGGGACAGCGCGCCGGGGGCCCCCGCAGGGCTGGAGGGGGTGGAGGGGAGAGGAAGGAAGGGATCGGGATAGGGAGAAACTGTGTACCCTGGAGGGGGGGGGACACCGAGGCCGCCCCCCACTCCTCCAAGTGGCGCGTGGACTGAGCCTCAGGGACCAACTCTCCCTAGTCCTTCTTCCTCCTTTCTCCCCCGTGCTCCGGCTGGGAAGAGTGAAAGGGAGCTGCGACAGTCGCTTGAGGAACGAGGGGACCGGGCCAGTGGCCAGCGTGGCCGAGAGCCCGCGCGGGCACGGGGCCGGAGCGCACCCGGCAGAGCCGCCAGCGCCACGCGCAGACGGTCCCCGCCGGCCAAGGGGAAGGGGGGAGGGGGCTCATTAGGATTTTATTTGCGACGCAACAGCTTGGCGGAGGATTGTTCCTAGCAGATCTCACGCAGTAGCCGCGTCGGGTCGGCAGCCGGCGCCGGGAGGGGCGGGGGAAGCCCAAGATGCGGTGACGGAGCCCCCTCCCCGGTGCGCCGGCCCCTCCCCGGGAGCCTTCCCTCCAGGGTTCCCCGCCCTCCTACGGCATCCTCGCCGCCGCCGGGGTGTCCGCTTCTCCCACGGCGGTGGTTCCCACTGCTCTCCGCGGGGCTCCCGAGCACTAGCCCGGACAGTCTCCCTCTCAGAGAGTCTGGGAAGCACTTGCTAAAGTCAGAGCCAACCTCCAGAATGGAGGAGGAGGCGTCCCGAAGGGACCCGGGGAGGGGTTGGGGGGGAGGACTGAGCAGGGGCGGAGAACTCTACCCTTGGTGGAGAGTTTCTTACCACCTCCCATTCCTAAAAGCACCCTTGCTAAAGCCCCAAGTGGAAAGCGCTGCTGAATGAGAGAGGATTCTTTTGCTTGTCTTTTTTTAAGGATGGGAAAAACAAACCGGTTGGGGGCTCTTAGTTCCCAGACAATTACGGACAGATTGACAGGTCAAGTCCTCACCTCTTACTCCTTTGGGCAAGTAGTTCAGTTCTTGCTTGCCCTGCCAGATTTCCCACCAAAAGAGTGGTCAGTGGGTCCTCGGGGGGCTTTTGCGCCCTCTGAAAAGTAAGAATAGACTCGACTCCTTCCCCGCCCCCAGGTCCTTGCAATCCCCATACCTCCAACCTACCAGGTTGAATCATTAGGAACTGATACCCCAAAAACACAGCTCTTCCCAAACCTCCTCGCAAACACCCAAACAGAGCCCTCACCCCATGGCCCCAAACTCAGGCTGGAAGGGCCCCTTATTGCTCTGCAGCCATTTGGCTAGGATCAATTATTAACAGTTTCCCCCCCTCTTTCATATTTAATGTGGCTTCGGGTCCCATCCCAGGCAATCACATTAAGGAAACAGCGCTGCAAATTGGTAAGACACGCTACTTAGTGTAGGGTGGACTGAATTTAAAAATATACATAGATAGTCAGGGCTTTTCTTGGGGGGAGGAGGAAGCTGGTAGAGGATCTTATTTGCCATAGGCTCCGCTTTTGGGGGGCAACTTTTCTGAGTCCTGGGGTCTAGGGAGAGATGCAGGAGAGAAAAAGAAAAGGCTGTATAAGTTCTTTTTTCTTTTTGCCCTCTTTCCACTCAATTAGCCGTTCCCTACCTCCCGGATAGGGTCAGTTAGAAGGCTTGGTAAGCTGTGAGGGGCTTCCTGTTACCCCCCCCATCTCGGTCTGCCCACCTTGGGGCTGGAGCAATCTCGCTTCCCAGTTTCCCTGGACTTGTGTTAAGCAAACTGAGCTGAGTAGCAGAAAAGAAGAGGCTATTGCCACCATAAGTTATCTGGGAGCCCCGGGGCTCCCCTGTCCATGGGCTGCAATTGATAAATGGTTGTAATTGGGTTTCTCGTGAGTTGGGAGTGTGCTGGGTGTTCGTGGCTGTAAATGCAGACTCTTATTTGTGGTGTGTGATGGGGAGGGAGGGGGGGGTCTCTACACAGACTCACATGTCTGCTGCCTTCTGGCCTAGAGCTGAGAGATTGCTATCTAGGCAGGCTTTACTGGGACTGGGCTGAAGGGCCAAGAGATCTCTTGGCTGGGACGGAACAGAACTCCCTTCCCTCCCCAGTTCTTCCTCTTTCCTCCCAGACCTAGAGCCAAGGTCAGCCACCTTTAGCCGGCAGTGTGGCTGCCGCTATACTGAGCTCTTGTGACCTGAGTCCAGGTCTGTTTGGATACAAGCAGAGAAAGGCTGAGTGCCTGGCCAGTGGATGCTTTGGGGATGCTCGGGTAGTTTGGCTCTATCCTTTTTAAAGGGCTTCGAGCTGTCTATATTAACTCCTGGCCCACCCAGGGATGCTTTCTGGAATCCTGAAGGCCTGGGTGACTTTCTCCACTGCGAGATGGGGACTGGAGATGGAGTGCACCCTCTTGGTCTGGGTTCCTTCCCTCCCTTCCTCCCTTTGATTCTGTCCCTGCTTCTCTTTCAGCCAATCCCTCTGCCAACTGGCTCCACGCCCGCTCTTCCCGGAAAAAGCGCTGTCCCTACACCAAATACCAGACGCTGGAGCTAGAAAAGGAGTTTCTGTTCAATATGTACCTCACCAGGGACCGCAGGCACGAAGTGGCCAGACTCCTCAATCTGAGTGAGAGACAAGTCAAAATCTGGTTTCAGAACCGGCGGATGAAAATGAAGAAAATGAATAAGGAGCAGGGCAAAGAGTAAAAGAACCGCCCCCCCCCCTTCCCTACCTCACTCTGATTATTTATGTGATGGCTGCAAGGCCACTGCTGTCTGGGATGTATCCAAGTGAGTGGGGAAGGGTGTCTCCTCTTTAAAGTCCCGCATCTGCACCTGGAGCCTGCCCCCCCCCC